TGGGGTTGTTCCTCCCCAGGTGCAGGACCCTGCATTTGCCTTTGTTGAACCTCATCAGGTTCCTCTCTGCCCAACTTTCCAGCCTATCCAGGTCACGCTGAATGGCAGCACAGTCTTCCGGTGTGTCTGCCACTCCTCCCAGTTTGGTGTCATCAGCAAACTTGCTGAGGGTACATTCTAACTCTTCATCCAGGTCGTTGATGAAGAAGTTAAACAAGACTGGGCCCAGTACTGACCCCTGAGGGACACCACTAGTTACCAGCCTCCAACTAGACTCAAAATTACTGTAAGGTTCTTCAAGGTAGAAGGCATATACAATTTTTGACATACTTAAGTACATAGAGAAAAATGCAATACTTAGTTCTTGCTGTAAAAATATGGACATTTTGTGTCTGTTTCTTTACTGCTAACCTTCTTGTATGTTCGTGTATCTTCCTCAGCCTGTTGCCATGATTTCCACTCACGCATCTTGTTCATTAATTTTCCCATGCTTATGCTATGAAGAGAGCTGGGCATGTAGTGGTATGTTTGTTGTAGGGCTTTTCTACAGCAGGGCAAAAAGAGGGAGATAATAGTGCTAAATGACCTGATGGCATGATGAAAGCCTTAAACTGTTTTAAAGAAAACTATTTTTAATTAAGTATTCAATGCACTGCGCTTGTCCTTGTTTGAATAGTTGTTATAAAATTGTGAGTGATTGCACTTAAAAAACCCCAACGAAGACCTTGTCATATATTTTTTAATGTTTTCCTTTAAATATAGTATAAAATACTACCTGAAATTAAAAAAGAAAAATGACATTTTTCTACACCACCCATACTCTGCACTTATCCGTAACTGAGGTAATGAACACATTGAAAAATTAGCAGAAATTTCCAAGCTGTCTTTTGTGTTTGTGTTGACAATTTTTTTTTTTTCTCCTGGATCCTCTTCCAATGTTTTCATGCAGTCGGTGAATATACAGAAGACATTGCTGAATTTGCAAACAGCTGGGCTGTGCAGACCTCAGATGACATAGCTTGTGTACCTACTGCCTCAGATTTTTCCAGTCCTTGCTCAGCTGATGCAGAATCCACTGAGGTAAATTAATTGTGTTTTATATGCGTATAGTCTTAATCTTCACTGCCTGGTGATGGTACTAGAATGTAGCAATATACATCATGTTGAAAAAAAACTTAAATGCACAGAGGCTTTGAGAAAGAGAAGATTGAGATCAGGACTGTTGCTAGGGAATGTCTGGAGATCTTCAGATGTTTAGCTTAAAAGCACAAAGGCTCAGACGGGACTTGTGAAGGGGCACAGGTCTGCTGGCAGAGCTCTTCCTTGCTGCATTGAATTTGGATTCAGTTTCCAGTCCTGGCATCTTGGACTTAATTATTTTGAAAACAGTGTAATACTGCAGAAGTAACATGCTCAGCTCCTTCATTGACACAAAATGCTTTTTTTTGTCATTCCACACGCTTTTATCCCAGAGCTGGTTTAGTAGGAGCATGCAATCAAGCCAGCCTAGGCAGACAGGACAAATTTTAGGAAGAATAATACAGGAGACATAATAATAAGACTGTGAGATTCTCAAATTTTAATGGAGTTATAGAGGACCCTAGATTAAGGTAATAAAGCTAAAAAGAATGATGCTTGTTCAGAAAGTATTTGCTAACTGTTGTTTACTGATTCTCCTTCATGCGCAGGACATATTCTTCAAGTGCCAAATATTCCTGCAGTTTCCTTTTCTCAGCTGTCATGAAAGCATAGATCCGTATTCTTATATTTCTAGCTGCATGAATGATCTTTGTAGGTAAGACTGGAGTTCTTGTATATTTATTTTTAATGCATCATATGAATGCTCACTCTTTCATTTGAGACCCCCAGAGATGGGGTTTCTCAGTGGGTGATTTAGTGTGGAAATCAAGGGCATAGAACCAGCCTGCAAAGGCATTTTTGATTGCTAAAGGTTTACATGGATTCAAGGAAATACTAGACAAATGCATGGAAGAGGAATTTGTGGAGAATCACGAATGACAAAAAAGGAGCTGCTAATCACAAAAACCCTGAAACCTGTATTTGGAGGTCCTGAATCAAAAATCCACAGAGATGATACTAGGGGGAAATATCAAAGCTACTGGCGGAGCTGGACCATTTGTCTGACGGTTGGACCGTTTTTATGAGCAACCACTGTGGTTCAAATTAGCAGAAATTTTCAAAATTGTTTTGTTTATGTAAATTCAAAGTTGCCAAAAGAAATTCAACTCTCGTTAACTTTGGTTGGAGTTACACCTCCTCAGCTGCTGGCATTATATGCAACCTGTTATTTTTCCCTTGGCTCTCCAGATTCCTCTTTAGTTCTTGTCATTCAAGTTAAACTGGTGCCCCAGAGTATAAAAGAATAGATGACTGAGCAGTGTACCACTTCCTTTTTCATAGGGTTTTAAAACTATCAATTAATTTTCATAAATAGCAGGATTTTTACCAGATACTATTATCGTCTTCTCAGCGTATCATCAATTTAATCAAACGTATACAGAAAGGATCACAAGGCTAAAAGTAAGAATCACTCAGTATAATCCTTTACAACTTGTTAATTCATTTTTGATGAATTTTTATTTTTCTGTTTTACTGTAAGATCAAGATAGAAGAATTTGTGTTTGCAGGCAAATCTCCAAAGTTTACTTCCTGAAGTTTATCATCTGTACATTGATTTCTTTCAGAGAAGAGCTGAATTGCCTCTGTATGGTCTCTTTGTAATTCAGGAGTTTATTGTGCTTTGTCTTGCCAAAGAAGGATAATGAAAAGCAAATTTTCAAAAGTGATATTGAAGAAGTGTCATGATGTTCAGGCAAATTTGATTTTTGTCAACATGCATACGTGTATTGAAGTGAATTGTGTGAATGTTAAAAACCTTGAAGGAAGTTTCTGTGTCTCAGAACCTCATTAATTTAGGCTTATTTTGTTTATAAAAGAGTTCTCTCTTCTTGTGGCTTAGTGTCAGTTTATGAAGTTTTTTGTAGGGCCATAGTATACGCCAAGTATTCTTTCTATTAAGATCCATTTAATTGGATTAGATAAGGAGAGCTGGAGAGACTCTGATCACTGTAACAGAGAGTATAGTGGTGTCTGATTTGATAACAGATGTGTTGAAAGCCGGATAAAACCACAATATACTATATTCCTAAGACCATCAATTTTGGAAGCACGATCTTATGTGCTGAAAGAAAAACTCAGCTGATCTGTCACAGTGATGCTTATAATAGAAATGTCATGTTGTGACTAGTTCATTTTGGCATCAAGTCCTCCACTGAGTAATGGGAGCTGTTGGACTTTGACAGTAACAAAAAGTTGGTGGCATCTTGCCTTATGTGACTTACATCTGAGTAAAATTTGGGCTTACCTAAACACTGATGAATGTGTCTTTACTTGATCCTTGCAAAAACACACTGTACAGCTTCTTCTGTATAGACTAAGGTGGAGACAATGTCTTTGCCCAATGTTGAGCTGTAAATCCCTGAGCCTGTCTACAGTATTCATTGGATAATTCATCTGGTGCCAAGCACTTCAGCACAAGGTCGGGAGTCCAACAGGGTGGTTCTTGCCTAAGTTCGAGGATTGATAGGCAATAGGAAACTTGAACTTGTTGCTTGGACCAGAATGTCTTTTACCAGCATAGATCAGAGTTTCCACATTATGCAGGAGGCAGAGGGCCTGAGATGTGGATCTTGAGACTGCTGAGTTGTCCATTGTCTTCAAAACAAGGTCACACTTCTCTTTCACCATAAGCAGTATTTATCTTTTTTTTTTTTGTAATAAAGTAGTGGTTTTGTTCATTGTGGTAATATGAAAACAAAATAAATTTTTGTGAGATCAAATGATAAAAACACAATGGTGTATTCAGTATAGCTTGTTCTTTTTCATAGTATTATTTTCACTGTGTGCTGTTATGACTGAGTGTTGTCACCTATGCATGACGTGTCCCGTGGCAGAGATTTGTAGATGGGATTCGAGTTCCTTAATTACTCTCATGTTCTGTCATTTCAGAGTGGATGATGACGAAACATACTGCAGGGCAGTGACAGAGTACGCTAGAGCATGCGCTCATGCTGGGTCCCCAGTGCGGGACTGGAGGGATGACTTTCCTGCCTGTAGTAAGACTCTTTAATAAAGAATACTACGTGACCTTTGAGATCTCCCATATATTCATTTCAAATAATTCCATCTTGACAGCATCTGCCACTATAGGACTCAAACCTGATACTGAAGTAGGTCAGCCAGCTTCACTACTGCTGGCTAACAATGAAGCTAATGACTTAATAGAGGAATATTTTAATTCCATTGTGATCTGATTTAGATCTGTACAAAATTCATGTTTCCTGAGGTTTCTTGAAATATCATGTGTGCTGATCATAGTCTAGGACAAAGAACAAACATCTGTGGAGATCTGATGTTGCCCCTCTTCCCAGATGACCTTTCAGCCTCTACTGGCCCTATAACAGAATTAATGCAATTAATCCAGCTTCTTCTAGTTATCACCACCACCCATCAACTGCAGTTCAGTCTTATGCACAAGACTTTGAACTAGCACATGTTCCCCTGTCGCATAAACTATAACTTCTTTTGGAGGGGTGATGTAAGTATTTGGTAAAGAAAGACTTAAATATTGATGAGAGACTCACCACAGTTCTTCAGTTAAAACCTCTCCAAACAATCCATTGTACCTCATCTGAATAATTACCTATACCAGAAGCACTGCACAACTGTTCATTTGAGAGAGGGGTTCTCCAGTATGGAAAGAGAAATTGCACTGATGTTCAATGTACCATGTATTTTTTTCTAGCTGAGAAGTGCGAAGACAGCTTTGTACACCGTGACTGTATCAGTTGTTGTCCACCAACCTGCACATTTGAAAAAGATTGTCTTGGCAGCAACCTACACTGCTTAGATGGTTGTTATTGTCCAGATGGTAAGTACTGCCAATTTTATGTGAAAAGATATGTGTAAAGCTAATATCCAACATCATATTAAAGTTGTCTAAATAGACTGTACTTAAAATTAAAGCCTGGAAATATGAATATTGCAAATTCTACTCTAGCTGTTGTTCTTCTCACTGTGATTCTTCTTTTTATTGTGTTCTAAACATTTGTTTAGAACACACAGGTGGCTCAGAATGAAACACAGTTAAAATCTGGAGCCGTCACTAATGCTTGCTACAAGAAGATATTGCACATATTTAATCCACTTTATTTGAATTATTCCAAAATCTATTGAGGTTTTGTTTAAACAGAATGTGTCTTATGTTCTGTACAAGGTAACAAACTTCCTGAGACCTGTACTCAATAAAAATCAGGGATTTGACTATGAACAATCCTGTTTTAGAAGGACTAAAGATTCTGTGATCTCAGAATCTTTTTGGTTTTGAGTCTATAGAGTTTTACATGCTTAAAGCAGACATTTTTCATAAAGCAGCTATTCAGAGTGACAACTGCTTTGAGAGACCTTCACTGTTCATCACTCTGAGCTCCCTGCACTTGCAGAGTGACTTTTTGCTGGTCCCTAGTTAAGACTGATGAGATCACCTTCTGGCAGATTCGAATGTTTGAGTCAGATGGGGGAAGAGCAGTGATCCAGAGTTTGTTAACTTGTTTTTTTATCTCATTTATTAATTTCCCTCCCAATAGGTCTCATTATGGAAAATGGAACTTGTATCTCTGTATCGAATTGTCCTTGTATTTATCATGGAACTGCCTTCCCTGTAGGCTCAAAAATTGAGCAAGAATGTAGCAACTGGTATGTGAAAGTCTCATGTCTGTGTTTCCTCTCTCTGTGACTGCTGTCCATAGTTAGTTTAACATCATAGTCACACTTCAGTTTGAAGAATAGTTATTGTCTTTGTTTTACAGTCTGGGCCCTGTGCATCACTAAAATGTGCAGGTTATTCTATGGAAAGGGTGAATTCCAGACGTATTTATTAGCTCAAAACTACTCTTTTTGCTAAAGATTGAAACACTGAATTTCTGTATTTTGTGATTTTTCTTTTTAGTATTTGTATTGGTGGCATTTGGAACTGCACTGATCATGATTGCCCAGGTATCTGTATTTCATTATTTTTTTCTCTTCTCAGTGAACATAAGGGATAAACTTTTCAGAAGACAACAAAACCAAATAAGATCCAAGGGCTTGGGATGCTAATTTAAGAAGAAAGATTAAGCAGATGGATGTTGAGAATAGCAGTGGGCCAGCTGGGGTGAAGCTGTTAACTGCCTGACCATATTCATCGTACCTTATCCCATCTGCTTTGATAACTCATTGTGTTACATCCAACTTGTCTTCTATCTCCTGTCTACATGCTATGTTCTTTGGGCCAGGTGGCTTATTTCTACTACCTGTGCAGTACCCACGCCAGATACAAGAATCTCATCGCTTCTAGGTGCAATTGTAATGCAAATAAGAAAAACACCATTCTGATGCTCAGTGTGCTGTGTTTTCTCCTTTAGTACAGCAGTTCACGTTTGGATAATGATCCTTATCTTGAAAGATTACATGTGTCTGTAATGAGTTACTCAGAGGAACATGCAGTAGTCGGGTTAGTGAAACTTCCTTGACAGTTCTGTATTTTAGACAAGATTATACCATGAAACTTCTGAAAGATTTTTTTTTCCCCCAAATTAAAGAGCCCCCTCTGAATGAGGTAATAAACAAGGCTTAACAGTTACTAAGGAAGACTTGACAGGGTGGATCTCTAATGTAGAACAGTTGACACTGACAACACTCTATACGTCTTCTGTGCGTTGTGTATGCATGCAGGGGGTTAATTATGACTACCGTTGTCTGGTCCTAGGGACTGAATGCCTGTTAGTAGCAGGAGCAAGACAGATGTACTCCCACAGAGCATCTCCTGCAGTAGTTGCAGGCAAAATTAATCTAGTTCGTGTGCTCTGACACTGCCCCACGGTGTGAATGAAAGTACAGTAAGTGGAGATATGTTGGAGACTTGCTTCAACAGTGCACTCCTGATCTGAACTGAAAAGCAAATACAGATGTGCCCTGAGGACAGACACCTGCAGCCTATTCATACCTGTGGTAACAAGCAGTGCCATAGTACCTAGAAGGAAGGAGAAAGAACCTTGTCCTCTTTCACTCAGTCATGCCAAAAGATGATGAGGAAGAAGATTGTTGGAAATGTCAGAGTTGTAATAAAGAGAAAACTGTCTTGTGTTTTAGAGGACTCGGGACTCAAAGGAATGTCATCTAGTTAGAACCAAAAGATGCTGCACGTCAGTGTGTGCAATATGAGATGGTATCTGATGGACATAGGTGTGTGTAACATTTTGTTTCCAAATGCCTTAGTAGCTAGCTAGATTCAAGTTAGCCTGGATTATGTGCTTAAAATAATGAGAAAGCTTCTTATCTATCTGTCTTCCATCATTTACAGAATAATGATATATTTTTACACAAGTGAACATTTACTGATTCTTTTTCTCTCAAGCTGAATGCTACATCACAGGTAGCTCTCATTTCACAACATTTGATGGACGTCATTTTACGTTTCTTGGGATTTGCCAGTACATTTTGGTAAAAGGCACTGGGGAAAATAAATTCACAATCACTTTACAGAAAGCACCTTGTGGACAGGTAAGTCACCTTTTTTTGAACACTCACAGCAAAAGTGTCCATCCATATGTCAGGTAATCTTGTATGGATTCCACTGTAAACTATGCGGTTAAGTTTAACAGACAATATAAATTGAAACCATTTTGCAGCTTTTTTGTGAGCGGTTTTATTGCTACATGTTCTGTTGTCCTTTGTAAAATCAATTGCATCTTTAGAGGGATACAGTATAAAGAGTTTTTAATTTATGTACATTAAACAAATGTATACATCTTTGGTTATGGTACAAGCAGATGTCTTAGGCTTTAGAAAAGCTCTTGCTGGAAGCACTGAATAGGTTTAATACACTGCTAGGTAGGCAAGAGATTTTTTTGGGGGGGGGGATAGATGTAGATTTTAATTTGATATGTTATAGCATGTTTAATTTGCTGGAATAATGCTTTTTAGAAAACTATTGAAGAGGCTAGCCACCACACATATTTGAAAGTATTTTGACAGGTATCCAACAACAGGCTTTAGGAATAGAGTTGCTTATAAAAAGTCCTTCTCTGTGAGATTGGATTTAATGATGCTATTAGTCGTCTAGGCTCTCAGGAGGAGGGGCTCATACTGTGACTCACAGCTGCCCATGTGCTGAGCACTGGAATGCCTGAACTCATCAGCAGGGAGTGATGCACTGAAGCTGCTCTGTTATGGTACTGTCTCTCGTGTCCCTTCAAAAGCTAGACTACGAGCTGGTGCCTCTGATCTTTTTGTAAGCACATCCTTCTCCTGCATAGGTGTTGAGACTCCTGTTTCTGCATTTCAGGTGGCCTCAAGCATGAAATGGTTGCTTAGGTAGCCACTGAGAGACAGGGATGCTACTGGAGACCCTTAGCACAAGTCTAGGCACCTTGGAAAGTTTCAGAGTGAAAAACAGGTGCTCCGGGGAGCATAAGATGCTTGGTTTAAGCTATTTATCTGTCACCTTTTGTCCTGTACTTCAGTTCATAAATTTTGCCTGGATAGCATTCTAAAATTATGGGTGTGAGTTAGTTTATAAGCCACCATTTTTTAGTAGTCAGTTATTAATAAAATATTGTAGTATAATTCTGGAGAAATTATATCCTTTTTGTCTGAAATCAGAGGTCATGACTACGTTTCAAGGTGAGAAGCACCTTCATGTGTGCAATAGTTTCTTTCTCCTGCATTACTGCATTTGGGCTCTGGTTGCACCAGCTTGATGTAGCTGGGGCCAGACTCTTGCTCAGACAGTGGTTAACCCAGCAATGAGGAGTACTCAGAGTGGCCATGCAAGTATGGCATTTTGAACTCAGTGTCAGTACTTGCAAACCTCTGTCTGCTGTCTACTAGACTGCCATAATAGCTAAAATGTATTCTCCTTGCTCTTCTATGTATATGCAATGTTTTAGTATGCTCTACACACAATTTTGGGTGCTCTGTTTAATCCTTAGAGTGATAGTTTACAACTGATTTACCTGATGACAGTTCTGGTATTTCCTTTCTCCACAACTGTTTTTTCCCATTTGTTTGGTTTTGCTTCCTATGATAATATTAATGTCTTCACCTGTTTCTGATGGTAAAACTTGTTTCTGCTTAGAACTTTGACCATGCCTGCATTGAGTCTATAACACTAGTTCTTGAAGATGATGTGAGCAAACAAGTAACTCTCACAAGATATGGTCAAGTCCAAGCTGGCCCTAACCAAGTTTTTAACCTTAATGGTAAGAAGTGCATGGAGTAGAAATTTACCAGCGGTCACATTCTTTCTTTTATATGCTCCAAAGCTTTTTAATAATATCTGTCTATGAAAAAGGAATTTCTTCAAACATAATTTATTAAATGTACAGTTACTTACTTCTTATACCCTTAGTAATGGTTCTAGAAATGTACTTTTTCAACCTGTGGAATACAGTCCTGCATTATGCCCTTGTTTCCTTACATTTCTTATCTTACAGAATACCTGAAATTCCAGTCATTTTGTTTATGTTTAGGGGGAGGAGGTAAGAAAAAGAAGGGAGTTGAAGAAAGGCTGGGAATCATCTTGATGATGATGTTAGGGTCTAGCTTGATTAAAGCTTTTTGTAATAAATGGCATAGAACAGAATCCATGTGCTCTACAGGATCTATGTTGCTTTCAGTACTGACTTCTGTTGTGATTTCAGGCAGGTTACTTCACCTTTTTTAGAAAGGATGGTAAAATAAATCAGCTTTAAAAGCATGTTATAAAATTAAGTGCTGAAGGTGGAAATAATATTGCTGAATTTTGTATCTTACAGTGATCAGTAGTAAACTCTTACTGGATTTTTAGTCTCTGTCTGAAAGAGTAAAGTGGGAGTTCCCCTTTCCTTTCCCAGCCTCTGGCAAAACAGAGTTTGAGAGTTCTGTGCTGGTGGTTGCAGCTATGTTTTTTCTTCATTTACTTTATCCGGTCGCAGTTCTGCTTTTGGCATTCACAGCTTCCTATGGCAGTGAGTTTCATAGCTCAGTTAAACTTCCAGTTATGTTCTGCTTCATAATTGCATTGACAATTTCATTTTAAGTCTTTTGAATCTGTCCGTATTCACTTTCTTGTCTCTTTCCATAACCTGTGACAAATATAACCTATGACAAATATTGTGGTGTCACGTTCTTGATAATTGGGTATATCTAGTAAGTCTTGCCAGCGAAGAACTGGCTCACATAAGCATTTTATCTGATTCTTTGTTTATGAACTTCAGTGTGTGTGTGTGTGTGTACACGCGTAGAGGCTGCTGGTGAAGGTAGATCTGCTTTAAGCCTGCAGATGCAAGTAGCCCCACAATCTGTAGCAAATGAATACCGTGACTGTGAAATTCCCATTTCCTCACGTAACGGATTTGGTGGGAAGGAAAGCTGGGAATTTGATAGGGTCTTAGTTCACATACAGCCTAAGGAAGGAGCTATACTGGTGTAATATCAATAGTAGCAAGAGACAACCTTCTACCTAAAGATTGCAATACACTTTACAGACATCTGTTAATTAATCTTATAATGTCCCAGGAGACTAAAAAACAAGTGGTTTCCTGTCTTCTCATTGCCAGAGGCATGCTATTGCATTGCTTTCTTCTAAAAAAGAATGAGATGCGAGAGTGATTTCTGCATAAATCACAGGTACAGAAAGGTGAGAGATTTTTTTACTGCCGACAGTAGTTGCAGTTCCTGATTTGTGCTGCTAATGAAAAAGATATGTAGTCTCGTAAGTTCAGATGGAGAACGGGTGAGGCTACTCCAGGTGAGGTTATGCATAGTTTCTCATTCTATTTCTGAGTTTTCAAAACCTATTCTGTTTAAGACGTAAACCAATACAACCTGGAAGTCGTATTTCAGTGACTTTGTTTTTCTTTATCTTTTGCTGTGTGCAGGGGATGTTGGCATTCAGAATATATCTTCTTTATTTGTTCAACTGAAAACTAGTTTTGGTTTGAAGATACTCTTTTCTAAAGATGGAGAGAGGATCTATGTTCAAGTTGATGTTGGCTGGAAGAGAAGAACATTAGGACTATGTGGAACATACAATGGGAATTTAAGAGATGATTTTCTGTAAGTTCCATATTCTACACTTAGATTGTGTTTAATAACAAGTGAAAAGTTTTGTTGAATGTAATAATATGATTATTTAATTTCATTAACATGCTCATACTTTATTAAACAAACCAATATAAAGTCTCTTAATTAACATGTTAGTCACACTTTAAAACATGAAACTCATAAATTTAGCTAAATCATTCTAAGATGTTTAGCTAGAAAACTACCATATTATTTACAGAAGTTATTAGCTGATGATTGCTTGAATGCACTTTTTTTCCTCTCTGCTACTCCCTTATCATCAAACACATGAGCACCGTCAAAAAGAGTGGATGATAATACTAGTATTGTCCTCACCCGATTTACACTTAATACTGCTTGATTTTTTTTTCCCCACATCAAGTTTTAATGGGAAAAAATGTAATTCTGAACCACAGGAACAATTTAGTTAGAAGGGCACACTTTCTTTATTCTTTGCATCCTCTTATTTCCCCCAAAGCTCCTCAAGCTATAATATCACAAAACTTTTCTAGCTATAATAAATGCTTTTGAAATACTTGGTGAAAAACAGCATCAAAATGCAAACAGCCCTGCTCTAGAACACTGAAATTAGCTAACAGGTCAAATTTTTGACATTTCACTGAATGTACGTACTTGGATAAAGGCCAAACTCTCCTCTCATTAATGCCTCCTCCAACTAATTTCAGAGTACTTGACTTAAGCGTAAGTAACGGCAGACTTTGAGTGCAAGAATGTTTTTGCATGAGTAAAAGACTGAGGAAAAAACTTCACATGCCCTCTCTTCTTTCATACCTCACAGATGGAAATTCTTTTGACATGTTGAATGTTCAGTGTGACTCTGCATCTAAGGCTTTTTGATGTACTTGCGTCCTCACCCATGTAGTCCATAAGGTCAGCCAGACGCTTCCAGTGTTGATCTTTTCCTTTTCAGGCATGGAAGGTTTCCTCAGCGTGTTCTGTGCCTATCAATATTCCTGTGGTTGATCCCTGCAACGTTAATCAGCAAAACGGTAGGTTTTCACATGGGAGTCTGGAATTAGCTGTATCTTATTACTAAGGGACTTTTTTTGTTTTCTTTGTGAATGAGTTTCACATACATGTATTTCAACTTCAGTTTTAGATGTGCTTTCTTTCCTTCCTTTGGCAAACACCATTCTTTGCATACATTTAGGGTGGAAAATAAAGTAAGTCCTTCATAAATACAAGCTAGTTGATCATTTAATGCTGGGTGTACTGGCCGTGAGTGCTAGGCAGAAGACCACCTGTAGTCCTGTAAATTATGGCAGTCAAGAAGAATGATGTGATGCACATTTGTGCATTGACAAAGAAAGTACAGGAGATGGTGTCTTGCTGAGACAGTGTTCAGATCAAAAGTCCTCTCTCTGGCTTCTCCATGCTTGTTGCATTAAAAGTTTCCTTATCCTCCATTTATGCTCTCAGACTCAAACTGATGCAAACAATCTGAGATCCATGGATTTGTTAAAATTCCTGAGTAAAGATTTAGTTTTGGCTGGTTGACATGCTTATGTTTCGCATTGAACTTCCACTGTCTCCTCCTTTCCATGTTGCTGTTCTTTCCAGTTAATGAAGACAGTGGGCAGACAGTAGTTGCCAATTCTGAGATAATTTAGTCCAGTGTTTCTAATGTTTCATACCCAAGGCCTCACTAAGGATGTGGGATTTGGTCATATTTAAAGCCTGTGGGAGCAAGCCTAGAATAACCATAAACCTTTAAGAGTCTGGGGAATTTGAAGGCTTTTTATGCCTTCATCATTGACTGTCTTCTAAAACTGCACCTCTCAGCCAAGTTAGCTCCCTCCAAGGTAGTTCATGCCTCACCTTCAGTTTTGTGCTTCCTCAGTAAAGGTGGACTTTGACAGAAATGTAAACTTCTTAGAGCAGGAGGGTGAACTACATGACCTTCTGAGGTCCCTTCCAGCCTGAATTTTCCTGTAGTTCTGTAACCATCACTGGAAAAAGCAGTCCCTTAGTAAGTGGTCCTGCCCCACGTTACCACCTGTGCTGAGCCAGCGCAAACATATTTCCAGGTCTGTAGTGATCTTAGTCTGCTGAAACTAAAAAAGAAATTACTGTTTGTTTACTTATTTTGTCAGTTTACTTTTCAACCAATTCAAGTTCACTCCTTGAAGCTAGTCTACTGAGAAACTCCAGAAATCCTTATATCAGTGTGTGCATGTGGGAATGAACAGGGAGGATGAAGGGTAGGGACACTCTTAGCAGAAAAATTGGCTTAGATATCATCCACACTATTGATGTTCCTGAGATATTGCACCTCTTGTGGTGGTAGTACACTTCAGTGGTAGGAGGAGGGTCTGTTGGTGTAAGAAGGTATATGGCCAGCTTGGGACCTGCATGCCCTCGAGCTCCAGTTTGTAATGCTTCCTGGGTCCCCATGCCAAGGAGTATACGGCCATTTCTGATGTCAAAGCTAAATGAAACATCAAGTAGGAAAAAAACATATACCAAGCTTTGGAGGACTGTTCTAACTCACTCTTTTGAAAGATATTTTTTTGCCATTTAAGTTTCCTACTAGAAGACATAGCTATTTTTATATAGTTAGTTATCTTTGTCTTAAGTGGAGTTTATGGTTGAGGGAGTTGTTTACAAGTCAGTTATAAACTATAGAATTTTGCAGAAAGATGTTGCATACAAGTTTTTCTTGCACAACTGGCTATATTTAGTTGTAATATTCTGTGCTATTCATTTGACTAACTGTTCTATTAAAACGGATCTAAATGGTTTAAACAGTGTCATCTTCTCTTAGCTGGGTATGCATCTCATTGTGATATTATCAATCAAGAAATTTTTGCTCCCTGCCACGCCTACATCAGTCCAGGATTATACTACCAGCTATGCCGCTTCGACGCGTGCAAATGTGGAAGCAGCTGTTTGTGTAATGCTTTGGCACACTATGCTTACGTCTGTGGCAAGCACGGGGTCGTTGTTGACTTCAGATCTCGTATTTCTTACTGTGGTGAGTAACATTTCGAGAATGGAGTATCTTTTAGAAATGTATAAAATTTACAAATATCATTTGCTCCACAAAATACAGGGATTGACCTTTTTTGCTGGAAACCAGAATTGTGCCACGAGCTAATGACATACTTGGGGGAGAACGCTAACAGCCTTTACACTAGGCATCAGAGTTGGGGACCATGTGCTGTCTCAGAAAGGGTGCCTGTTCCTTTCCGTTGGCTACAGAGAGAATTTAAACTTCTGACTTTGAACTCCTAAGTCATATGGAAGCTCCTATTAGGCTAAAGTAGTCACGGAGTGGCAGGAGCAGGGCTGTTTCCACCAGGGAATGAAAACCGGGGTGGTAGGGGCTCCCTGGGGTGGGCAGGGCAGGATGGACATTGATTTGCCAAGTAGGATATAGCAATGATTTAAAACAATGCATTCCTAAATCACAGAGTAATGCCTCAACCTTAACGGGACCATTCTTCCTCTCTTGGAAGCCTGAGTTACTAGATAGACAAACCTACCACACGCATGTGCACACACACACACTTAACATATATAAAGAATAGACACTTACTGTTTACAGATTAGGGGATTCCAGTCAAGGAATTTTCTAACATAAAACCACCTGACCCCAAACATTTCTGTTTTACTTAAGAAATTATAATAAAATAATAACTTTAAAAAGTTATTATTTTATTATTAAAGTTAAAATAACTTAAGCAATCAGTAAAATAGCATATTTTTCTCATGCATTTTAACTCACCCCAGTGCAGCAAGAGACCATTTTGCTTTGCTGTTTTGCACTCCCGTGATATACTGCTTTGTTTCCTATTTTCCATATTTTAAGAGTACGTTGTTCTCCCTTCTCTCTCCCTCTCTCTCCTCCAGCGGTGATGTGTCATAGTGGTATGCTTTATCATCAGTGCTCTTCTTTTTGTAAACACTCCTGTGCTTCACTTTCTATGGCAAATATCTGTGCTGACGACTGTGCAGAAGGATGTAATTGTCCTGACGGGAAATACTTTGAAGAGTCAGTCAACTTTTGTGTAACAATGTAAGTCATAAGAAAATAGAATATATGAGTAGGCACATTTTCCTCTTTCTAACAAGATTTAAAGTAGTTAAATTTATAGTATATATATTATAGGATCGCAATATGTATATTACATTATAGTAAGCAATATGTGAAGATTTCATATTCTTTTGTACTAATCAATAGGGTGGCCTCAGCTGCTACTCTGTGTACAGCCATCTACTGCACTTTAGAGAAGGTATGTCACCCTGCTTTAGAGAAGGATGATGAAATTTTTTTGATTCATGTTAAAGCATTTTCATATGAAAGCTTTGTTTTTAACACTTAAGAGAAAATAAGAAGGAATCTGCACAGTAGCAATCCATAAAATCAGGGATAGTATGGAGAGAGTGGCTAGGAGTGTCTTTTTCTGTCTCACAAACCCCTTCAGTTAAAGGGCAGGAACTGGTCAATGAAAGGAAATAATTTTTGTACATTGTGCACCAAAATTTTACTGCTTCACACCACGGGGAGTTACTGAGTTCAAGTACTGAATTTAAAACTGGAATGAGTATTTATATAAATTTCAAGATTATATAGATCTATTTTTGTCCATTGAGATGTATTTTGGAAACATCAGTAAAGTTCATACTGTAGGAATAAAGACTGTTTCAAACTGTTAAAGAGTGTGAGGTAACTTGGTATTCCTAGATTTCTTGCATTGTTTCTAGGGAATCCTGTTGCTACTTCTATCCCATCTGGCTCTTATCACAGACAGAGTTAATGCATTGTGCAGTGATAATCCTTCTCTCCCATGATTTTGACAGTACTTTGAATGGGAACTACATGTTGTCATGCTACTCCCATAACTGGAAAGAAAAGCTCCGTTCTGTAAGACTAACACACAGAAACAGCAAATAAATAATACAGAGGTTGAGGAAAATCCTGGCTTTGTTGAACACAGCCTTCAATACAGTCCGAGTGTCACCCTTTAGTTTTTGCCTTTAGAAGTATAAATATAAAGGTTGAGTTGATGAGTTACGAGGCCTGCTTTTGATTATAGTTTGATAAATGAATTGCCCTTAAATCCCATTTTATCTTGCTTGTCTATCTACATGCACAAATATTCTTTTAACAGATCTGCCTGTCATTGTCATTACAAGGGCAAAGCACTCCAGCCTGGAGAAATCCTCCCTACGCCAACAGGCTCCTGGTAGGTTCGAGTGCCAAGAGTTTTACCTTTCTGGTTACACACATAGTAAAAGGGAATGTAATATAAATTGTATTATGTACTCGCTTATTTTAACAACAGGGTACCTGGAAAATTCTGTAAGCCAGGGTCTAAAGAGTATCTCAAAGCACACACATAGTGGTTGCAGTCCTGGTCTTGGACCAGGGGGCATGGTAGCAATATGACGCTGTTTTCTGAAGAATAAACAATGTGATTCTATTTTGGAAAGTCTTTCAAATAAAGGCTTGCAGGGAGCTATATTGGTGTCTTTTTGCATTATTAATTCATGATGGAATTGTGACCTCACTGAAACAAGTGGGGAAACCTCCCAGGCTTCCTGGTCAAATCTGTTAATTTTACAAGAAATGCCCTCAATTTGCTAATTTAAGATCATGTCTGTGATTTGAGTGCCAAGGTTGATTCTTGCTGAGGTCCTACATATAGTTGTTATAACTGAAGCTTGGTAATCATGTAGTTCAAGGGGTGAGAGTAGGGGCTTCATTTTTCTGGCACTGCTATGCTTCTGTAATGCTTTTTTTTTTCCCTTTCTTTTTTTAAGGAAAAGGAAAAAATGAGAAAAAGTTTATTTTTGAATGTGTTTTTCCACAATTTTGTATTTTATCTCAAAAAGAATCAAGCTGTGTATTCTAATGTCTGTGCAACAGGAAATTCGCATGCTGTATCCTTCCATATTCACCAAGGCAGATAAGGTTTCATGTTACACTGCCAGCATCCTGAATCACCTGGCCCTATATTCCCACAGAAGGTGACATACCTAGCTCCTTTTTTATTCCAGTGAAAGCTAGACAATTAAATAGTACATAAATACTTTTGTGAGTTTGGGCCCTCATGACATTTCAGCAGTTAGAAAACATGAAAAAAATGTTGTTCAGAACTCATGCTTTCAGATTTTAATCCTCCTTCTCCTCTGGATTTCTGTTGTTTAAATTGGGTTAAATTGCATTATCTGTTTTAACTTGGTGGATACTAAGTTTTCCCATTGAATAAAGATGGGTTTGCTTTTCTTTTCCAGTCAGTGTTTGAATGGAACAGTCAAATGTACTGAAGCCACTACAGAAAATACAGGTAATTTACAGTCTTGTCTCATATTTTGGTTGCACAGAGAAAGTTTTTGACATTGAATAGTCATTTGGTTTTCTACTCATATGTATTTTCATTATGAAGTACTTAACATCATGACATATTTAAAATAGGAAGTTAGGAGCACAAGTTGTCTTGTTTCTTTCTTTTTTGTTTTTTTCTGTAGCAAAAATTGTACTACTAAGTCACTTGGGAAATTAAAAAAATAAATAATTATATATGGAGGTGTAGGTCAATATGTTCTCATGGGAATACTTAAAATTAGGCTCACTAGCCACATTTCGGAAGCCTTAAGATTTTGATTTCTAGAAAGTAAGTTTTTAGTGATTTTCTAATGGATTTAGAAGGGATTTCAGTACACTGAAAATTATGCAACATTTAAAGATTCTGTCTACCTAAGGCATAATTGCTCCGTGTTTAAGAATGAGCTGTGCGTCAGATCCAGGGTGCATAGATTCAGTTGCTTAATATTAAGTTTTGGTCTTTTTTTTTACATTAAAATATATATTAATTTTATATGCCTGTAACAAAAATGAAATTATAGACTTTTATTCAGTTTGTATTCTTATGTGTACTGTAATGTAGGCTAACTGTGCATTAAAATAAATAGGTTGTGAACAAAACTACACAGAAAACCTTCAGTGTAAAAGAGCAGTTGATCTCATTTAACCTGCATTTTGCATTTGAAGTTCACATATGCCCTGAAGGAAAAATCTACTATGACTGCAGATCTCCTGTGCCTGGATTACCAGCAGCGGGTGTGAATTGTGGGATCTCTTGTGCGAACCTTGCCATGAACTTCTCCTGTGTCCCCTCACCACCCTGTGGAAGTGGCTGTGTTTGCCCACCTGGGTAAGCTTTGGCAGAACAACCTGGAGCACAAGCCATACGCGTATTTTTCACAGTTTAACTGCATACTTTTTTTCCTTTTATATTCCAGTCGTGTCACACCTCTAATTTTGAAGCTATTACTCTATAAATTTTTGCATGTGTAAAGTCACAGTTAAAAGGCCTACTCTTATCTCTAAGAGCCCTTTTCTCCTTCCTGCTGGTGTTAGGCTCGTGCTATAATGCTTCCTCCGTTGGAGTCCCACAGTTTCTTCATCCTGAGACCATGATTCCACTATCCCATGAGATATCCATTTTACTACCAGTCCAATTGGCTGGTATTTGGGACTCCCTGGACAGAAGATGACTCCCACCACTTGCACAGTATAGTTTCTTTGGGTGTAGAAGCAAACATGACAAAAAATCATAATATAAACCATCTGTGTTCCTCCTTACTGCCCAGGTAATTATCTCACCTAAACTTCGACTCTGGCTTACAGTACTGATGCTCAACCTCAGGCAGGGAGGGACAGGGTGCAGGCTGGATCCTTCTCTCTTCCCCCTTCCCCATCATTCTCTCTGCCCTTCTGAACTCAAAGTTTTTGTTTTCTCAGCTCATGTATTTGGATCTGGTGCCCAGAAACAGTCTGCTGAGCTTTGCAGGGGTCCTATCAAACTAAAAAAACTGAAAGAATTTGTTATTAAGTTTCTGTCAGATCAACACCACTCCCTCCATCTTTTTCTATTCCCTCCCCTGATACCTGCTGTGTGCACTTTCAGATTTGAAGTCAAATATGCTGTGCAAATTGCTGCAATTTGACCTCAGGTGGAGTGTTCCCTTTTTTTTTTTCCTCAACACTTGATTTTGTTTCACTGTATGTATAGCCACTGATCCCCTGACAGTATATCAGTTGTGCACAGAGTGTAGTGAGACTGCCAGAATTCCCCTTCCAGCAACCTGTGATGTAAGTAGATGATTAAGCACTGGTGAAGGACAGATTTCAGGCACAGTTATTTAAGGTTTCACTAGTTGTTCTTGCCTGGTGTTCTGTAGTCCGCTACAACCTCTGCCTCAACTGAGGAGTTAGCTTTCAAGATCATTGAAGTTATAGGACTAAGCAATTATTTTTAACACAAAAATGCATGGATCCGTACAAGGCACCATATAAGAAACAGTAAATTTTTACTGAAAGATCATCATGATATTTGCATGAACTTAAACTAGCAGCATTGTCATGAAAGTTCATTTGAAAAAATTAAAATCTAAGTGAAAAAACAGAGCTAAAGCCCTGATCTCACAGTCAAATTACACCATTTCAAATTGAATATGTTACTTGATCATTTTCTGAATGATAAATTATAAATGGGGTACAGACAAGCCAAATCCCAAGTTTCTGTCAAACAGTGGAGTAAAACACGTGAATTATTTTGTTAAGAAAGAGTATAAATGCTTATTTTGCTATTAGATAGAAAAGTAAATGTGTAACATTTAATGCAGGTAGTACCATCATCAGTGTCAAATTGTGTTTCTGGAGCCACTATGCCTTTCAGGCTCTTGGTTCCGAGAAGTGAGTATGGTTTTTAGCTAGGAAGGGGCCAGCAGGGTTATCTTAAAAATTGAATTCAGAAATTCTCTTTTTCTGTACAAGAAAATGTTAAGCATATACCTCGTGACATTAAACTTGTATGGACGAGTCACGAAAGCCTTGTTATGAGAAGTTTTACTGTTATATAATTCTTTTATTCTCTTAAGACGCTGTTCTATTTAGTTCTCCTTTCCTGCCTCATTTGTACCACTACGCATTTTTTGGCACACTGACCTAACCTATTGGGGTGTAATCCTGAATCCCGGGTATTTCTAGTGCTGTCAAAGTAAAGCAGCTTGTGCGTGGTATTGAAACCCATTCCTTTGTAAACGCACGAGAGGATGGATTCTAGTATTCAAAAAATTGTCCTCTTAAAGTAAAAATGTTTTATGTTTCCTATTGTTAAAATTCTTGCACAACACCTTGTAGTTCTTTTAGTAGTTACAGGGATGACAAAGAATAAAAAACATGGGAAGTCTCTGGTATGCTATAAAAAATCAATAGAATAGCTCAAAATTTCATGAGGAAATGAGGTGAGAATGACAGTAAATTCATCACCCAAAAATATACTGAAAGTCACCCTAACCCGGAGCTGGAGATATAAAAGGATAAGCTGAATTATGGAAGGACAAGAGAGTAGTACGGAAACGGACCTCATGGGGCTAAGCTATTCTCCTGCCCCTAGGTAGCATCAGCAATACCTACGTTATTCTTGGCAGATATTTAACTTCGATCGACAGAGACTCTAAATGACCTTCCCAAGCCGTCCCTTCTAGTGCTTTCCTATCTTTAGTCATTCTGAATACTTGAGTCTTTTACTTCAAGCCAATTAATCTTTAATGAACCAGTAATTATGGGGAGAAGAAAATGCTAATCTGCATATTTCTTTTAAATCGAAGTGAAGCAATCTCAAGAACATACTTTGAAAACACACCTCTCTCTACTCTCAACCGTGCGGTGCAATCACAGCTGCAGGAACTGCTCCCCTAAAGAGCAGCATTGGGATTGTCAGAAACAATTTTTTTTTTTTAAAACTTAATGTTGCTAAGCAGATGGAAATGAGGAGATAGCAAAAAGTGGTTAAACACATCTCTGGATCACTCATTCATGATCTAATTAGATTTGCCACTTTTTGTGCTAAAGGCCGCTGTTTTGTCTTAAACTTACTTCACTGGGGCAGGCAGGTAATCTCCACCACCGCAGTTCACAAACTGTGTTTCTTCTGTCCTGCTGACTCTGCAGCAGCTGCCATAGCCCAGCTCGCTCTCCTGTGCTCAGAACAGGACGGTTGATGCTCTGAGCAGGCACATCAGCCCAGCTGCTTCCCTGGGGCGGAAGGACGAGGGAAAGCAGCCCAGCTGCAGCCTCCCCAGCATGCGTAACACGCAGCCGCTCTGCAGTTTGCAGGGAGGAGTACCTACACGACCTGCACTCTTGCATAGGAGCTGCTGCACCACACTAACATACCCCTTTCGAGGTAGAAAGAGAGCTGCAGCTGTGAGCTTTGCGAGGTCTCCAGTTGTGCACAGTGGAGATCATTCGATTAGGACAACTTTTGCTGGTGAAACAGTTGTCCTTGGCTCAATGGAAGAGAGGTTGCCTTTGGCAGGGTTTAGACAATACACTACACAGTCAGTTATGTTGATCTACTTGTGAATTTACGCTTTCATCTTACTAATTCTTTTATTTTGAAGGATGGCTGAGCACAGAGGGAAATGTTATATTCCTGACAGTTGTCCATGCACCTGGAAAGACAGAGAATTTCTGTCAGGAGAAGTGATAGCTACACCGTGTTACACCTGGTGAGTGACATGCATTTTGCATACTTATAAATCATCTAGGTCTATCCACAAAGTGAAACTGATACAGAAAACGTGTCAAGTACATTGAAAGTCAAAAATGTCTATGCTTGTTTATAGACAGTTACAGGATACATCTTTTATTAGGCTCACTAACAGACTTGAAAGAGTAGGCAGACTTTTGGGTGGGTGCTTCTTCAGGTCTGAAAGGGAAGCAAAAGATATCCAAGTTAAAAAGATGTCAAGAACAAATGCTTGCTTTCACACATATCAGGTAATCTCTGAAAGAAAAGACATTTGGCATTTTGGAGAACAGAATATCATGAAAGACAACCAAGGAGAAAAAAAGAGAAATTAAATGTATAACTGGTAAATAGTTTGCTCCTTTGGGAACTGGACTGTTTGCAGTGTGAGTTACCAGTCAGCATGAGTGAACTGTACAGGAAGAAGATAGGCAATAAAAAAAAATGGAAATAAAAAAGCATTAGAACTGGAAAATGAGCTAGTGTCCAGCATCTTTTTTAAGGAGCCTTACCTGACTCATATTGATGCAAAACAGTTTTTCATCAATTGTAATTTGTAGCCAAAATATCTATCTTCAGTTAAGTATATATTTAACAATTGAAAAAAAAAAGTTTGGCATGGCAGCTTTTAATCAGTTAAAAACTTCACTGGCAAATCAACTGAGCTTATACACTTACACAAGCAAAACTAGAGGCTGTCAGTACCTCCTTCATACAAATTCATGTAAGTCACTGAATGTAACTGACAGGAAAATTAACTCCCCAAAACACCAGCATTTATTTCTTAAAATCCTTCCATACTTGCCTGATACCCTGAAATCTTACAGGTATCAACTGGAGATCATTTGCATTGAAGATGTGCAGATTTTTATAAAAATTTCTTGAGAAAAAATGTAATATTGATATTTAATGAGTGAGCGTGTTATGGCATGGTGTCTTATCTATACTGGAGGCAGTGACGGAAATGTTTGCATAACCTGTAAAAATTCTAAGAGTTTGCACTCATTTCTCATGCATTTTTATTGTACACATGTGCTGATGGCAAAATGCTCAACACTGTTCTGCCTTGGCATGACCAATAACTTGGGAAGCAATCCACAGAATAGCTCTGTGTTTCTGTTCTTCCTTTCGTGAATTTTTTGTATGACTTGAAATAAAGAACCCAGGAAAGCTCTTTCTTGAAAACAAAAAGAAAATGGCCCTGCTATGAGAAGATATTGAATGTTAATTTCCTTTACAGCGTTTGTCGGAGAGGGATATTCAATTGCACTAGTTACCCCTGTCCTGCTGTATGCACTATTTATGGAGATCGACACTATTATACCTTTGATGGATTGGAGTATGATTATGTCAGTGACTGCCAAGCTTACCTGCTAAAGGTAGGAGAATAGTTTATACATTTTCATATGTCCAAGAGAAAGTTTCAATGAGAGGGCAAATATTTTGAACACTGGGAGATGTTCTATAGAAAAAAACATTAAGAAAACAGGTGCAGAACAGATGTGTCTGAAAGGAAGAATCTGTAAATGACACTTCATGCTCAGTCATTTGAAAATGGTACATGGGTGTGTCATTACATCTCTGTGTGGTCTACAGAAAAATAGAAAACAATGTTTTTTATTCTACCATAACCATGCTTTCATGACAATGAGGGAAGAATAATACTGTAGAAGCTGTTCTACACCTGGGTATAATCTTTATACTATTTAGTGGTTATCTATAAACTGCTTGGCAGAGGGTTAATGATGGCCTCTGAGGCTGCTTGGAATCCTTCTTGAATGTGATCTGCATCAGATCTGGAGTGTATGTGTATAATAATATCAAACACAATGATTTCATAATTCAACAATGAAACCTTTCATTGAGATGGTCTGGCAGCTACATGTTTATGTTTCTTATAGCACACATTTACAGTACATTGCTAGCCTTCTTTGTTTTAAAATATCACTACTGACATTTAGAAACATATTCTATTACTAAGAACCCCATTGTTTATTATAATTGTTGCTATTATTAAGGCTAAGAGTCTGTCTTCTGAGTTACAGTAATGTATTTAGAAGAATATTAATTTTCTGTCAACCCTGAATGTCTAACCTAAAGAAAAAGCATGTTTTCTCAACAAGGACTACTGCAAATAGTTTATTTCATGTACACTTTACAGTAGAGTATTCACAGCTGTGAAATAAAATAGATTGGTTGCAGACTTTTTTTCTTTGTTCAAAAAAAAAAAAAAGAGAGAGAGGTTTGGTAAAGATAATAAGAATACCCCATTGAAAACTCCTGGCAGGTATCACATTGTCTCATAAAAGAGCTCTTACTCTTAGAGATATATTAACCTTTGCACAAACCTTCCTCCTTTATGATGCAAAAAATAGGGGTTACTTTACCTGTAAAATCATTTTGCCTGTATGACAAGGTGGAAAGGTGGGTTCTTGTTTCTTAATTCTTATCACTGGAATGTTTTGCTTTTACAATCAAATGTCACCCGCTGCTCTACTGTATATGAAAGTACCTATTCGAAAACCACGGGGGAGCATTTGGAGTCCAGGAATAAAGCTGGCAGCCACATAATTAAGGCATGTGGCACACTGCCAACAGGCCTTTCTTCAGGTGAACATGATGACACAGATGACGAAAATGCTGCCTACATAGATCTGCTTTTCAGACTTTTTCAGCTTTTCAAGCTGCTTTATTCTCCAAACTTAGTTAATGTGAGAAAGTATGGCCCAATTCATTCATAAATTTTCTTTTCTCTTTAGTATATGGAAAACTTTTGTGATCTAGATTGAAGGACAGTTTATTACAAATTAGGCACTGAATAATTATATCTGGAACAGATAATGTACCTGTGAAGAGAAATGAGGGAACTAAAACACAGAACTGATGAACTATTGTGATGTGCAGTCCTGGAATCAGAGGAATGGAAGATGGCAGTATAACCAAACATTTTAAAAGGACTCCATGGCTGAATTTGGCAGGAACAGACCAATATGTCTGATTCCCATATGAAGGAAACTAATAGAAATTGTAATAAAGAGAAACGACACAATATTGGGGAAGAGTTGAACTTTTTTTTTGTGAAAGAAAGTAATGCATGATGAATCTTCTGAGTTATTCCATGAAGACAATAAACATATGCATGAGGATGATCAGGTCAATATGTGTGTATTTTAGACTTAAAGACCTTTAGGAGACAGATTTCAACAAGTATTTTTTAGAGACTAGTCTTTTGTGGCTTGAGACTGAAGATTCTTTTGAAACAGAAATTTAAAATTAGAAGTTAAAGGACAGGAATAAATGGCTTTTTTTTTAGAATGAAGAGATCCTAGTAACATCCCACAGTGATCCACGCCGAGACCTGTGTTCAGCATCTACAGAAACAATTTTGAAAAGAGGGTGTGAGGATTGAGATGACAGTATGCTGATGGTACAGAATCAGCCTGAACAGCTGAAACAAAGGCGGACCACCAAAAGGTTCAGAAGATCTTATGACAGAAAATACTGCATGATGAAATGGAAGATGAAATTCAACAGTGAAATATGCAAATCAGTGAACAGAAAAAATAACTGTAACTATGCTACCCTGAAGATAGGCACTAAATTAGCTACTACTGTGCAGGAATGTTATTTTATATGAGAAAAATATATGAAACAGATGCAATCGGCATCTTCCTCATGGCAGCCTGAGTGATAATCCAAAGTGTCATCCATTCTCCAATTTCACATTTGTTTCTATTTGCGTCTACACAGTTGCACCACAGTTGTATCGTATACTGATGTGGTTAAACTACATCATATGTGCAGACATGATAGCATGATGAGGCTTTTGTTGTTCCTAGAGCAGAGGTTTCCATGGCTGTTTCTCCATAACCATCCTCTCCTACATTGTGGCCATGTGGAGCGACATTTTTTAGTAGCAGTATCAGGGTAATAGAATGAGTCTCTCTTGAGCTACTCTTTGTTCTGAAGGTATGCAAGAGACCCCTGCCTCTTACAGCCTGTTGTCGAAATAAACGTGCCAGATGAAAGGTGGCAAACTATGTGTAGTTGCAAAAGTTTAAATGCCTTGCCTAACACCTTGACAGGCACAGCTGTCCAGGGCAGTCTTGCCACATAAACCACACCACCTGTTCCACAAACCATCATATGTATTTTTTTTAACTTCGAAGTAAACTGATGTATCATAGAATCATAGAATTGCTTGGGCTGGGAGCGACCTTTACAGATCAACTGGTTCAAGTCCCTCAACGTGTTTCATGTTTCACACCTATAAGGTGTTACAGAACATCATAGATTTGATAGTTGCTAGTACACAATCCATGGACTTGGTAGTTCACAGTGCTGTTATGAGGCTGATTTTTATGGATAATATGTAAAAGGCTCACCAAACACCTGAAAGCGAAACAGCTAAAGTGTATATACAACACTGTAATAACTTTGTCCTTTCCCTTTTACTAATCTTTTTCCCGTGAGAAGTGGTCCACTTTGTGTCTGCTATCTTATAAACTCTGAACAAAGGTGTTGTAGCAGTGCAATAAGGGAAATTATAACTACGATAAATTTGCTGGCATACTAGTTCTTCCCACATGTAGAACTGAGTCCAAGAATTATAATCTGAATCCCATATCCCCAGTGGCATGATAATGTGCTCTTCCCATCTACGTTACCAGTCCTCCCTGTTTGATTTGGCTGTTAAACATGATCTGTTTGAATAGCTCTTTAATTTGTCACTGTTTTGCACTGTACCAAACAAAGAAGTAATGCTTACCTTTTACTATGTTTTTAATAAGGAGCTTTTGTGTTCTTATGGGAGAAAAATCAAGTATCAACTTTCAGCCAATTATGAATCTTCAAACTTTATTTTCAACATTAGGATCATCTGTCAGGACTTTTTGTTTAAGATGACAGTAGGTGTATGAAAAAGCCCTTTGTAACTAGTTCAACAGATATACCCATCAGTCAGAAAATGAGCAAAAAGTTTTAATGCAGCAATTAAGAAAACTAAGGCAGTAATGTCTCATGAAATAACTTCATCTTTTTCAAGGAACTAGCAGTTACATTACACACTGAGAAGTCAAGTCCCTGTATGGATAAATGACATTCACAGAGAAGACATCAATATTTGCTTCTAATATTTTAGAACCTCTATAATTTCAAAGGAAGAGAAGAAAAACCTTGGCAGGCCAACTCATACAAGTTTTATTAGTGTAGATCACATAAACACTTCATTTCAGCTAATCTGAATATTGATGAATTTAAGCCAACCACTTTCTTAATTAAAAGTATTTAAATAGCTTGCTTTTTTTTCCATTTTCTTGCTTATCTTCTGTCTTTGATACGACATTCTTACCCTAAAAAAATGGTGTTTTTTTCTGGCAAACTTTTACTGCGTGTTATTTGTACTTGCAGTCTATTTCTTCCACTTGCCTGTTTCATAGACTTCTGCTTTTACGGTAAAATTGCTGTCTTTCTGTCAAACAGGTTGGCCTTTTTCTAGCTTTGTGGTAGTTTTCAGTCCTGCAGTTCAGTGTGTCCTTTATTAAGGCTTGTAGGGTCCATGCCCTTGGAGCCCCTCAGACTTCTTGTCTTCTGAGAAGCAGAATTCTATTTTCTCTGATTTGGGGGAGTCTCCAAGAAAGAGTTTAGAGGAATAGCCTGTCTGTCAGAATATTCTTGAATGAGAGGGAGCTCTGTTGTAATGCTTTTCTGCCTTTTAAAAAATACTCAAAACAACCCACTGAAGTCTTTCCATTAAATATAGTAGGTTGTCAATAAGGTCCTAGAGCTAAGAAAAGGATGGACTCTTTTATTCCTGTCTCCTGAAAGATGGAGGTCAGCAGAACTAAGACCTCATCCTTAAGTATTCACATTTTATGGATTAGTCCCAACTTTAAAGTATGTGATCGAAATATTTTCACTTCTTTTCATCTGACACTGAGGGTCATTTTAAAGTCGCCTTTTTAATCTTTTTGATGCAATGATGAAGACTGTCTTAAAGCCAAAGCTATCACCAGATTTAGTGTGTTGGAGGATTATGAAAGCAATAACCAGACATTTGATCAAATAATTGAACTGTTATGCTAATTAGAATTGCAGCTGTAACTCTTTTGAGTCAGAAGACACCACATGAGAGCCCATTTGTTAAGGCAGAGGCTTATTTAACAAAGCATGCATAATCTAGCGACCCAGTACGAGAGTTTCCCAAATTATTATCCTAAGGATGAGCAGTCCCTAGTGTTAGAATGTCTTGGGGAATGGGGAATACAGCAAGGGAATTATTTTCTTGCATACCCCTTCTTTTGTAACTTGAGGCAAGTTCAAAGCTCTTGGTTTATGATACTTTTATTAGAGTGCTTAATAAAGAAGATAGTTGATGCAC